TATTAATTTTCATGATTTGATTGTTTTTAGGTATGAAATAAGTGTTTCTTTTTGGAAATTTGGCTATAAGCCTAATTTTTGATTCTCTACAACTTTTCCATTGACACCAAAATGGATTTCTTTTGAAGAAAGTGCTCAAACCGGGACACCTCCAGTCCTCCATTGTTGAGCCTCACACTTGTCTCACACAAAACAAAATCCTACTACGAAAGAGGAATCCGCAAATTGTCTGTAAAATGGGCAGAAGTCGTCAATAATAATGGAAATTATTTGGAATGAATTGATGGTTTTATGTTGAATAAATTTTAGTTCAAAGTCCCGCAGTTTTCAATTCACCAACCCCCACCTAATACTATTTGTTTTAGCAAAATAAAGTCGCTAGACTTTTTATAAATTTTATAAACATAAATGTGAGACCGTATGAAAAAGTGCATTCAAAATGATACTGTTTGCAAATACAGAGGGCTATGTTTCTCATCTGAAATGAGCTTTCACTACTTACGCCATAATCAATTCTTCGCATTGCTCATCACACTCAGCTATTTCCAATTTCTCGAATCTGCCACTCTTGATATCATCGAAAAATGAATTGAATCGAAAAGCTTCCCCGAGGCCATAATTGGAAAAAATTTTCCTGAACTTTTCCTTTCTCAACACTTAAACAAACAAATTCAAACAAACCGTCTTTCAAACAACTCCCACAAAACCAAACCAAGCGCATAGATATCACATTTATGTGTTACCTAAATCTCTATTTGGCTGGAGTGCAGTTCCGCCCACGAAAACTTTTCGAAAACCACTTTTCTGAGGGTTTTCGACCATGCTGAATCCGAATAACATAGTCCCGATTACCGGAAACGAAAAACTTTGCCTTGGGGGATCAAGGGAAAAAAGTTAAACCCTTTCTTTCAGTATCTCTTTTCTTTTTTTGATTTAAACCGATTTTGCTATCACTTAATTAATGTTTTTTTCTAGGGAAGACGGACATTATTGAGTTGCTTGATGGTGCCGTAGGCGACCTACCGGACCAACTTTTACCTAGCCGGGAAGTGACCTGTGCCACACCGTGTTTTTTAAAGACGTCGAAAACCTTCCATACCACTCGCCTTTCGACCGAATTGCTAGTCTTTTTTCTTAAAGGGGTCGAAAATCAAGTAATATAAATGTTAAGATAAAAAAGAAAGCTGATAGTTGCGGAGGGGGTAGTTGCCTTGGTCCCCAAGACAAAATTTTTTGTTTCCGGTGATCGGGACTATGTTATTCGGATTCACCATGGTCGAAAACCCCCAGAAAAGTGGTTTTCGAAAATTTTTCATCGAGGGGGTAAACTGCACTCTTACCCTCTATTTAAGTGACAAATCTTGTGCTTACCTCTTTAGCAAAATATAGTTCGGGACTCATGTAACGATAGGTACCAACAATCGATCCTTCGAGAGAAGCTTTGTGCTTTGCACACCCAAAGTCGCCAAGCTTTGCCTGATAGTCGTCTTTTAAGAGAATGCTGAAAAGGAAAAGTGGCTTTTGATTTTCAAATGAGTTAAAGCGAAGATAAAGCTGTTTTGGATGAATCCAGATGTAAAATTCTAAGTCTTTAGTATCAGCACAAGTCTGTTGCCGTCAGTGTTCATCCCAGCTTCCCTGTCGGACTGAACCGAGCTAGGCTAAGGCCAAGGCCGAGCTAGGCTAAGACCAAGGTTGAGCTAGGCTAAGGCCAAGGTTGAGCTAGGCTAAGGCCAAGGTCGAGCTAGGCTAAGGCCAAGGCCGAGCTAGGCTAAGACCAAGGTTGAGCTAGGCTAAGGCCAAGGTTGAGCTAGGCTAAGGCCAAGGTCGAGCTAGGCTAAAGCCAAGGCCGAGCTAGGCTAAGACCAAGGCCGAGCTAGGCTAAAGCCAAGGCCGAGCTAGGCTAAGACCAAGGCCGAGCTAGGCTAAGGCCAAGGTCGAGCTAGGCTAAGGTCAAGGTTGAGCTAGGCTAAGCCCAAGGCCGAGCTAGGCTAAGGCCAAGGTTGAGCTAGGCTAAAGCCGAGCTCTTAGACTTTCAATTCTCAAACTCTAATTCCCAATTCTCAAAAAATTTCCCCTTAAACCGTCGTTGAAAGTAGGCTGAAAGTTTCTAGGAAATCGATTTGGTTAGTTTTGAAATAATCCAGACCTGGACTAGCTATGACTAGCTTTTTTTGCACAATCCTGTTTACATTTAGAAGTTCATTATTTTTCCAGATTTCCAGATTCTTACTAGTAGACAATAGACAACAATTAACAAAAGAAATGATTTCTCAAAAGCCCACTTTTCCGGCTTAATATCCCTGTGAACGATTCCATTGTTATTCAGGAATTCAATTGCCACCAAAAGTCCCTCCATCCAACACACGATTGTATACAAAGTGTAGACAAATTTTGAGTTATAGATTACTAAATTTAAATCTACATTAAGATTAGTTCAAAACTACCATTTGTCAAGGCTCCTCTTTCGCAATATTCCATGACAATTCCGAACATTTTCACGTGATCAACGATTTCTTCAACCGATCCAAAGTATTGGACGATGTTTGGATGAAAGAGCTCCATTACTTTACATTCTTTTTTGAAGTTTTCGATGTCTTCTGTGCGTTTTGGGATCAAATACTTGACAACTGCTGGTCTAAAGAAGAATAGAATAGACATTTAATTCGTTTTTGCGAAATTTAAACTCACGGCACGTGATTCTCCAAGAGATAAACGGTTCCGAAAGAGCCGGAGTTGAGAATAGTCTTGCTACTCATAGTTAAAGCAATTTAAGTTTAAAATAAATAATCGATTAACGGAGAATCTATGAAAAATCTTTGCTTTTGAGAAAAGGGGTAAAATTGCGCAACGAAAAGCCGAGGGTGGTAAGAAAAAGGATGAGGAAAGGAAAAGGGACGAATGGAAGGAGAACTTTTTACTTTTTACCAGCAAAAGTTACTATTTGATCCCAATACGGTTCCAATACGGTTCCAATAAGGTTCCAATACGGTTCCTATTTTAATCGAATATGGTTCCAATATAGTTCCAATACGGTTTCAATACGGTTCCAATAGGGTTCCAATAAGGTTTCAATACGGTTCCAAATATGGTTCCAATATGGTTCCAATACGGCTCCAATACGGTTCCAATACGGCTCCTATTTTAATCGAATATGGTTCCAATACGGTTCCAATAGGGTTCCAATAAGGTTCCAATATGGTTCCTATTTTAATCGAATATGGTTCCAATATAGTTCCAATACGGTTCCAATACGGCCCCAATACGGTTCCAATAAGGTTCCAATATGGTTTCAATACGGTTCCAATAAGGTTCCAATATGGTTCCTATTTTAATCGAATATGGTTCCAATATAGTTCCAATACGGTTCCAATACGGCCCCAATACGGTTCCAATAAGGTTCCAATATGGTTTCAATACGGTTCCAATAAGGTTCCAATATGGTTCCTATTTTAATCGAATATGGTTCCAATATAGTTCCAATACGGTTCCAATACGGCCCCAATACGGTTCCAATAAGGTTCCAATATGGTTTCAATACGGTTCCAATAAGGTTCCAATATGGTTCCTATTTTAATCGAATATGGTTCCAATACGGTTCCAATACGGCTCCAATAGGGTTCCAAATACGGTTCCAATATGGTTCCTATTTTAATCGAATATGGTTCCAATATAGTTCCAATACGGTTCCAATACGGCCCCAATACGGTTCCAATAAGGTTCCAATATGGTTTCAATACGGTTCCAATAAGGTTCCAATATGGTTCCTATTTTAATCGAATATGGTTCCAATACGGTTCCAATACGGCTCCAATAGGGTTCCAAATACGGTTCCAATATGGTTCCTATTTTAATCGAATATGGTTCCAATATAGTTCCAATACGGTTCCAATACGGCCCCAATACGGTTCCAATAAGGTTCCAATAAGGTTTCAATACGGTTCCAATAAGGTTCCAATATGGTTCCTATTTTAATCGAATACGATTCCAATACGATTCCAATACGGTTTCAATACGGTTACTATTTGATCCCAATACGGTTCTATCAGCTAAACACTTCAAAAATGTTTATTTTATGAAAATCTGCTGAAAAAGTTGTAGCCAGTTTTGAGCCGAGGCATATCCGCGTGAAATAAGGTTGAGAAAAATGAATTCTATAGGAATTTCACGCAAGACATTTCACTCGAGGCAGAAAAATGTGCTGATTCCGTAAATCGATGTGTTTTTAAAATTCATGCGACAGATTTTCTGTAATTGACATTTTAAAGAAATTTTACCCAGAAGTTTTCCTTCCAAACAGTCCAAAGCGCTTATATTTTAGTAATTCGCAAAACCGCTAGTAACTTTTGTGAAGGCTCTTGTTCTGGGCATTTCGAAAGCAAAAAAAAACAAAAATCATTCAAATTTGAACAAAGTTATTTCAATTTGTAGATGGGGCGAAAAAACTACTGTAATCAGAGTACTTTTTGCAATATATCGGATAGCTTGATCATTAAGCTTCTTCTTGTAGTTCCTACGTGTTCTTTTTCCATATTTTGAAGGGTTTCGAAGGGAGCGACCGATCGCAAAACACGATTTTTCCAGTTGTCGAGCAATCTTTTGATTCGAGAGTCCTTGGATTCGAGAGTCGAGATGCAATAAGGTAACTTGTCCTTTATCAAACTCGTTAAGAGCTGTTGCAAGCGGCATTAACCCAAAATTAAAAATTAGGCAAGGAAAACAAAGAAAAAGAATATAAAAAATAAGAAAAACAATGTGGAGGACTTGATGTGAAACAGTTTTTTATTGAAAAATGAATGAAAGCTTAATGGAAAATTTCTGAGAATTAGCAGATAGCTGAAAAAGCGAATCAAAGCAAAACGAAACCACTCAGTTAATGAGAAATTGAACACATTTCAAACAAAAATCAAAGTAAAAGAGCAAATAAAAAGTCCGATAAAAAGTTGTTTATCGGAAATTTTGTGTTTATCATTGTTCGAACTCAAAAATTGATGGTTTTAGGACAAAAAACGAGCCAATCCATATGCACCATAGTGTTCAAGACAAGATTGATGAATGAATGAGTATTCACAAGCATTGAAAGCACCATCATTTACCTAGGATTGAGTAGGTTTTGGGAAATGTTGTCATTTACCTCAAATGAGTACAGCCAATAATCAAAGACACTGATTTTCCCCAAGAAACCGACAGTGGGACGGATACCGTAGTGAGTTTCGATTAAAAGCTAAATATGGATCTCGATTTTTGCATAAGTATTGTACAACTTTAGGATACGGAAAGTCTTACTGTAATCTGGAGTAAAAGCTCCTTCTTTATCTTGTCTGGCTTGACAGGATAGATACCTTTAACTGACTCTAGTGTGAAGCTATCTGAAGCCAAGTCTAGCCCTGATCTTGTCTGGCTTGACAGGATAGGTACCTCTACCTGACTCTAGTGTGGAGCCACCTGAAGCTAAGCCTAGCCCTGATCTTGCCTGACTTGACAGGATAGGTACCTCTACCTGACTCTAGTGTGGAGCTATCTGAAGCTAAGCCTAGCCCTGATCTTGCCTGACTTGACAGGATAGGTACCTCTACCTGACTCTAGTGTGGAGCCACCTGAAGCCAAGTCTAACCCTGATCTTACCTGGCTTGACCTGGCCCTGATCTATTCTAGCATTGCCTGTCCTTTCCTGACCTGCCGTCAGGAACAGCCTAGGGCCTGACTGGAAAACTTTGTATCCAGGAACTGTATCATCATTAATAAAGCTACCTGACATGGTTTATAAATCGCCAAAAACTCTGGCAAGACATTGTATTCAACTGCTTCAAGATCTATTTTTAAGATCTAAAATTTTTTATATTAATAGATGACAACAAAACTTACTTACATCAATATTTTTCCAACCATGGCTCTTTACAATATTTTCCAAAACGAATTGATTTGACGGAGATTCTTGGCCTTTTTCCTAGATGAGCAAAAAACGGCAATGTAGCACAAGAATAGTGTTACAATAACCAAATTGACTTGCGCTTTTTTTAGTTAGACAAGTTATTAACAAGAATTTTGTACCATTTTGTCTTACTTGTTTTGAAACGACCACTCCCGTCACCACTTCTCCGCCAAGTTTCTGATATGTACTCCTTGTTAGATAACCTTGTTCAATCTGAAATTCCTCTTTCTAGTTCTATGACTGTTAATTACCTGATCGATTCCAAGCAAACCACATTTAAGACCAAATTTCTCAAAGAGATCTTTCTGAATTGAACTTTTGTTGAAATAGGTTTTGGATTAACCTCAAATTTCACATCATTCATCAAACCAACAGAGAAAATTGTGCAATTGGTTGGGACTTTCCAAGGAGCGCAAAGCTGAGAGTCGATTTTTGAATAAGTAAACAGTTTAGCTACCCATTTCCCTCCATCCTCCACTCCGCCAACACGAACTCGACCCGGGCAAAGTGCCTTAAAATCTGCTTAAAATAATGCCCCACATCATTCACCTCAATTGTTAACAAATTGTAAAACTCGCTCCACAAACTCTCATCATTCATCAAAGTCCAGCGAATATATCGTTCATTTGTCTGAAAAAGTTCGATTATAGAACTTCTATTCTATCGCTGAACTTCTATTCTATTACTGAACTTCTTCTACTCTATTCTTGAACCTCTATTCTATTACTGAACTTCTATTCTATTGCTGAGCCTCTATTCTATTCCTGAACTTCTTCTATTCTATTCCTGAACTTCTATTCTATTGCTGAACTTCTTCTACTCCATTCTTAAACTTCTATACCGTATATGGAAAGAAGAGGGGAGAGGCGGGCCGGCGGGAGTAGAGGAGCTTCCACCCCCATCCCCATCCCATTTCTGGCTACGGTGGTTCAGAAATTTCATGCATAGGGAGCCATGTATAGTGAAAATCATGAAAACAAACACCAAAATTCCCCGACCTCAACAAAAATCATCTTTCCACCATACCTACCACCTTAAGCCACCGGAAATATTTTTAAAATTTGACTCAAAGTGGATTTTTTATAGATATTGGGTTGAAAAGTAAGTTCTGTTTTTTTGGGAGAGGCTCTTAAACCCAACCAATCTTTTGGGTTCTTAAACCCAACCAATCTAAACGTATTATAGCTCATTCAAAAGGTGAATTCAAAGCGGAAAAAAAGGGGAAACCGTTTTTGAATTTATACAGTTTTGAAGCTTTTACAGGCGTTTTAGTGAGCTCAGTCAGATCCAAAAAAGTGCCGAAATTGCTTTTTTCCACTGTTTTTTGCCCGTTTTCTCGTTCTTTTTAATTGATTTTTGTTTATTGTTATTTTTTAGGTAAAAGGCGCAGAAAAAGGAAGAAAGCAAAGAAAACGGGGAAAAAACGGTTACTACCGAAAAGGTCAAGGGTTCGATTCCGGCTCGCGACAAAAATTTTGACTTTTTTTTGCAAAAATCTCAAAAATTAGTTTCTAAGGCTAATTTAATGCGTTGAGTACGAATAACGTGTTTTTAGCCTATGTTACCAAACAAATAACTATCGAAACTCAATTTCGGCACTTTTTTGGATCTGACTAAGCTCGCTAAAACGCTTGTAAAAGCTTCAAAACTGTATGAAATTTAAAAACGGGGTTTTCACTTTTTTCCGCCTTGAATTGAGCTTTTAAATGAGCTATAACACGTGTAGATTGGTTGAGTTTAAGAAACTCTCCCGGACAGAACGGACAGAACTTACCTTCCAACCCATTAATGGATAGCAGTTCAGGCATTCCGGTTATGTGTAGTTCAGGGATTCCGGTCTAAACCAAAATTCCTGTTACACCTCTAAACTCACTTGATCTCTATAGCTTGCCTGAGCTTTTAAGATATCAATGGCAAGCTTTGGAATGTCTAAAATTTCGGGAAATTAATTTGAAAAAGATAACGAAACTATTCAGTGCTTCCAGATCCGAATTTCTTGACTTTTTTGGTAACAAAGCTAAATTTTTATTGAATGGATTTGATGTAAATTTGAAAAACACATTTATTCAGTAATAATTCTTACCAAAAACAATAACTCCCGTAATTAGAACGATCAATAATCGGCTCATTTGTAAAGCAGAAAGATTTTCTTTTGCAAGAATAAAGTTTTCACGAAATTCTTGTTTTCTGATTTCTTTTTTTCATTTCTCTGCACTGCTGAATCAACAAAAATAAAGAAACCTTTGGACTTTTTGTTCTTTATATAAAAACTAGCCTTTTTTTTGGATAAAACCTAGAGAAAGGTACCCTAAAGTCGCGAGTATAAGTTCTGTTTGGTTTTCGCATGCAAATTGACGGCTGTCTCCGGTGCGGTGTGTCGAGGGTTCGAACCCCGCTGCAGCATAACTTTTTTGCTTTTTAAGAACAATAATAGAAGCTAGGCTAGGCTGCTTAGGCTTAGGCTTAGGCTGAGGCTTAGGCTTAGGCTTAGGCTCAGGCTTAGGCTTAGGCTCAGGCTTAGGCTTAGGCTCAGACTCAGGCTTAGGCTTAGGGTTAGGCTAAGGTTTAGGCTTAGGCTTAGGCTAGGCTTAGGCTTAGGCTTAGGCTAGGCTTAGGCTTAGGCTTAGGCTAGGCTTAGGCTTAGGCTTAGGCTTAGGCTCGGCGCGTCCGCCCTGCTCCTCTCCGGTGCTCAGTCTTATGGATCCCTCCCTGGCCTCTTCATCCGGCCAAAGTTCACGTCGACGGTCGAAAGAGATGCTTTCCAGCGTCTTCTTCAACACTATCGTCTGGATGTATCCATGCACATAACAAATAGCAATGGTGATAGGCTGTCACCCTGTAGTCACCCTGTAGTCCTGTAGGCTGTCACCCGCGCTCCAAGAACAATAATAAAAGTTTATATAACAATAAAAATGTATAAAAACCCAACAAAAAGAAATTCAAAGCAATTAAAGCGAATGTAAATTAAGGCAGAACTTATACTCGGATGAACTTATACTCTAGGGTAATCTTAATCTATTAGCCAATTTGAGCTATTCTAGAGATTTTGATTGAAGATTTCTTTGTAATTGCCAATTTGTTCCTTGTCTTTTTGCAATTTTTGATCCATTTCACTCATTTTTTTACATGATTAAGCTTAACTAACTTGAAAAAAGTATCGTTATTACAAGATTTCAATGACTAGATTGAGTATTGATAGATAAATGAGTATCAGACCAAGAAAAAGTTACAAAATAGAGGATCCCGGTAATTTTACCACGATGAGGTTCAGATGAGGTCCAGATGAGGTCCAGATCAAAATTCGGGATCGTCTTGGTTGATAGCTATCTTTCACAAACAACTTGACGACTTTGCAACTTGAGAAATGTTGTTGTTGCGCTGAAGAGGGATTCGATTCTGCTGCTGTTTTGCTTTTGGTGCTTTTTGGTGTTTTGGGAAACTCTTCCAAGCCTCCCAGCCTCACAGCCAAGCAAAGCCAGCCTTACGAAACCTCCCAGCCAGCCTTACGAAACGAAAGTTTATATGTCGTAGCCGTTTACGAAATTCAGCCGCTAACGAATGAGGGTATTTCCGGGCATCCAATCAAAAAGTCGCCCACATAAAAAATGTTCATAATACATATATTTTATAATAAATTTTTGAAATTAGCTCATTTGGTTCAGTAGAAAATTTTTTTTGAGCCCCCAAAGTTTAGGTTCAAAAATGCTCTAAAATGGCTATAAAAAATTTTCTACTCAGCCAAAAAACTTGCCTAATAGCTCATTTTGTAGCCAATTTTATGTAGTTTCTTAACGTAAAGCCATTTAAAACAATTTTTCGTTGAAAGTAGGAGAAAGAGGGCGAGGAACGAATTCAGGGCAATTCTCAAATGTGAAAACAGCGATCGAGTTCAACTGAAGTTGTTCCTCGCCCTCTTTCTCCTAGCTTTGAAAAACAAATGTTCAATGTAGAATGTTCAATGTTCAATGTGAACTTATACTCGAGACTTTACGGTAATTCTTATTTTCTTGTATTAAAAAGATTTTTCAAAGTGAGTCCTTTCAAAAGAAGGAAATTGTTATGATCTATCAAAGATCATTCATGATCTATCAAAGAATCTTTCAAATTCCACAACATTTCTCAGTTTTGCATTGCAGGGCATTTCCCCAGCTTATCACTTATCTCGGAAAGCGTCTGGAGACACGCTTCCCTTTTATTCTTTCATTCGTCTCTCACTCCTTATCCAAATCGCTCTCTTTGCATCCCCTGCGGGAGATTTGACGTCACACTCATTTGCACTCTCGGCCATTGATCCAAAGCGATCAAAATCTGCATCAAATTGATCAATTTCCTCACATTTTCTAATTATTAAGTTCTTCGGATTTAGACAAGCGTTGCTAAACTTATTGCTGTGAGAGAAGCTTTTAAAATATGTCTTTCTGTATTTAAAAAGTACGTTATCTTGTGCATATTTGGAATCTTTTTAAACGGACAATTTCTTATTTTTAAGATCCTTTTTTCTTGCTTTAGATGACCGACTTTAAATATATTGATCTGTGACTGTTCAGAGAAAGCTACAGACTGTTCACTGACTGTTAAGAGAAAGCAACAGACTTTAACAACCTTCAGACCCTTTTCTTATTTGAATATTTGAACTCACTTGTTCTTTAGCATCTATCTGAACTATATTTGAACTAACTACTTATTCTCGCGTCTACTTTACTTATCAATAAGCCTACTTTACGACTTCAAACTGGGCAAAACAGCCACGGAATCCCATCGAGATTTGGTCAAAGCATTTGGGAATAATGTATTGTCCGAAAGCCGATGCCGAGCCTGGTTCCAACGCTTTCGGAATGGTCTCTCGAGTTCTTTCGTCTCTTTCGGAACTCTCGAGGATGATGAACACTCTCGTCGACCTCAAGCGGTAGACAACTATACTTTGAGGGCTGCAATCGAATCGGATCCATGTCAAACGACCCGTGAACTTGCTCAACAGTTTCTATATTCAAATTCTACTATTGATGAGCATCTCCACGCTATTGGAAAAGCGATCAGATGCGGGAAATGACTTCCTCATGAGTTAAGCAGTGCAAACGCTCGTTTATATCCGAATAACCTAATAGTACACCTTGATTATTCTTCAAGACGTTATGACGTGACTTCTTGACTTCAAGAAGTCAAGAACTTTTAAGTTTTTCTGAAAATCTTCAACTATTACCTTGTATTAGAGCTATTGAACAGTCAATCAAATAGTTTCATCGCTTTGGTAGCGAACTTAAAACAAATTTACTCAAAGAGGTACAAGATTTTCTGTTAAAACATTGGAAATGAGTTTAGTATAAAGTCCATTCAGCCATTATCAGATTTAAAACCTGTACCTTAGCGTAAATTTCTATGAGAAAGCTACAGACTGTTCGCTGACTGTTAAGAGAAAGCTAAAGACTATTCACTGACTGTTAAGAGAAAGCTAAAGACTGTTCACTGACTGTTAAGAGAAAGCTAAAGACTGTTCACTGACTGTTAAGAGAAAGCTACAGGCTTTAACAACCTTCAGATCCTTTTCTTATTTCAATATTTGAACTCACTTGTTCTTTAGCATCTATTTGAACTATATTTGAACTAATTACTTATTCTTCAAAGTTGTGTATCTAATTAATTTCCATGCTGCTTTCAAAGAAAACTAATTTCCGCCAAGTCTTGAATTTTTCGTTTCCTGTGCTCATTGGCTTTTTACAAATCTCGGGGCATTCCCATATTTGTGTGGCAAATTTATGAGAGCGTTGAAGCAATGGGAAAAGGCAAAAGGAAAGCAAAAGCCATGTTCTGTTTGGAAAGCGCTATGAAAAGCTTTTCAAAAGACGCGGAGGAACTCTCTGTGTGGCGACGGCTTCCGGTTGTTGGGGTAGAGGAGGTCCAGGGAGCAGCCTACCCCTCCCAGTACTCTCAGTAACCCTACCCACTCCATTCTAGAACCGTAGACACCAATTTACGATGAGATTTTAGTGGCATGTGTTTACCCGACAGTACAAAGTACACTCTGGTCTCGTAGTCAGCAAAGAAGCCAAGGACCTCTTAGACACACCCATCTGGCGCACAGGAGCTCTGAACAGGAGCACAGGAGCAAACGAGGAGCTCTGAACAGGAGCACAGGAGCAAACAAGGAGCTCTGAACAGGAGCACAGGAGCAAACGAGGAGCTCTGAACTCAAGTACTTTCTCAGTCCCGTCTCAGGATCTAGACAAGACCCAGGACTTCAGTCCAGGACCCAAGCGGGTCTTTCAGCCCCGGACTTAGCTCCAGGGTCACCCTAGGCTACCCCACCCAACCCCAGGATCCAAAAGGGGCCCCTCAGCCAGCCCCACCCCTTCCCTCCAGGCAAAAAGGGAGCGAACGAGGCAATCGATGCCAGCCGCCTCTTATGTTGAGGAGCTTTCCCGGGCTTTTCTATAGCAAGAGGGTGACAGCCTCCTTTCCTACCACTCGTACCCACACATCCCTCCAAATCTCACACAATCCAATCTTTTTTATTGTTAGTGTTCCAATTTTCCAACTTCAGAAGCCAATCTTAGGCTTTATAGTTGAATCAAATGCTCGAGTTTTTCTCTTTATTGATGTAGATCTGTCAAAATTTCTGATGTGAATGCATTTGTAATGATGCTGGGCACGTTTCTCAGAGTTTTCTCAGTTTACGAAGTCCAAGACTTACACTTTTCATACATTTTTCAAAACTGATTTTATTGCGAGAGCTTTTTAACTCTTCTTTTTTAAGCTTTCATCACTTTATTTTAGTAATAAAGTATATATTATTATCCAATAATTTAAAAAATTATGTTGTTTACCTGATCACAAAACAATAAATTGCAAGAAATTTTTCGTGAGCTGCGTTTTCTAACCTTAGAACCGGTTCAGGCTTAGGGTTAGGCTTAGGCTTAGGCTTAGGCTTAGGCTTAGGCTTAGGCTTAGGCTTAGTAAACTAGTTGATTCCTAGTAAACTATTAGGTTGATGCAAAAGTCTTTTTCATTTTTTTCGTACTTCTTTTGAAAAATAACAAAGTCATCAATTAACCTATGGTTTGCTCTAAATGAAAAGTGTTTATTGTTCAATTTCCCATCTTTTTAAGTCAATTTGGGTTCACTTTCAAGCAAA